TCTCCGATAGGAGGTGTCATCTCGGGGAATAGACTCCACAGAGGAGGCCACACTGGGAAGCCTGAGGTCTTTCTAGGCTTTAGACCTCTTTGGGGTGCTGCAGTAAGCTGTAGCATGACCACAGGTGGCCCTGTTTCTCTCCAGATCTGGTTTTGCCTAGCAAATAGGGGGAGTGTTGGCAAGGTGCCCGCCATAGAGGGGTCTCTACAGACGTGTGAAGTGCTGCTTTTAGTCTTAATTTCTTGTATTCATTATTCATTTATTCTGGTGCTGGAGATGGATCCCAAGTCTTTCAGCATCCTAGGCAGGTGCTCTACCCAGCTTTGTGAGGTAAAGCTAGATGTGTTGGTACCCATCTCTAATCTGAGCATGTAAGGGGCCAAGGCAGGAAGATTGTAAGACCAGTATGGCTACATATCAAAACCCCGCTCTCCAAAAACAGTATGTAATGAGATGTGTCCTTATGTGTTAATAGTTACAATTCAGTTAAATCACTATGATATTAGTAAAGGCATGTTCATTAAGCACTGTTTTACATTGTTAACTCTGATAACTTCATATCACAACTCTCGTCAGGGGAGTGCTAATACCATGGTTATCATTTTACGGGTGAGAGAACGGACATTTAGAGATAGAGAGTGACAGGGTCACACAGTCAGTATGCTGAGACAACGCTAAAGGCAGCTCTGGTGTTCAGTACATGCGCACTGAGTGACTGTGCACCAAGTACCACAGGGACTCCCATGGCCAAGCTCTGCCTCTAAAGAGGTAACTATGGGACAGAGTCACGCGCTAATGGCCCTTTTCCCAAGGGCAGTCTCTCTCTCTCTCTCTCTCTCTCTCTCTCTCTCTCTCTCTCTCTCTCTCTCTCTCTCACACACACACACACACACACACACACACACTCACATAACACACACACCATGGCCGAGGAGGAGAGACTATGTGAATTAGTTTGATTGTGATAGTTATTTCGCAGTGCAAATGTGTATCAAATCAGCAAGTCGCGCACCTTAAATAGATACAATCAAAATAATCCAACATAACTAACTGCAGAGATAAACAACCCGAGTCCTTAGCCCAGGAAGCAGAAAAAGGGCCTGTGTCGCCAGCCTCTTCTCTGGTGTGGGGTGTCTTTTCACCCGCACCCCAGCAGAACCCCAAGCTTGTCTGCCACGGTTTTTTCCTCCCAGAGGGAAAACTCAAGCAGACCAGTTTCCATGGGTCTTTGGGTCTCAGCCAGATCCTAGAGCAGCGTCTCCAGGTGCCCACCCCCTCCAGCATGGTTCTTTCTGCTGCTCCGGGCCCCTCAGTTTCCCAGCATCCCCCCTCTTATCAAACCTGTTCCCTGTCTCCATGGTGACACCGCCTCACCCAGCTTCCTTGGGTGGTCTGGTTGCCTCACAGGGTAAAGCTCTGAGAACATTTTCCTAATGTGCAGCCAGAAGCTTCCACTTCCGGTGCCCAGGGCTACCCGCTCTCCTGGTGCCACACCCTTCACTCCAGCAGCCTCTCCCGTCCTTCCCATCACACCAGGCTGTGTCCAGCTGAGAGGACACATGGCCCCTCTGGGGATCCCAAGGTCTACCGGGAAGAAAGTCTCAGAGTGGAACTGTCAGCCACCCTCCACACCCTCTTGGCTGTCAGTGGCAACAGTTGTGGGCTCAGTGCAAAATGAAAATTGGGTGTCCAAAAATGACTAACAATTTCAGAATGGCAACAGCAGATAATTAAGCCTGGATTCTCCAGAGTATGGGATCCTTCGCAAATGAATAGGCCCCATGCCCTGAACTTAGCAGCCCTGGAGAGTTGTGTATGTGAGTGTGTGTGTTGTGGTATGTGTGCTATGATGTATGTGTGTTGTGCATGTGACATGTGTGAGTATGGTATGTATTTGTGTGTATGGTCTAGGTATGTGTTTTGTGTATGTGTGTGTATATGGTATAGTGTGTATGTTGTATGTGTACATGTGGTGTGGTATGTGGTGATGTGGTCTGTGTAATATGTGGTGTGTGTGTAGTGTGTAGTGTGTGGTGTATATAGTATGTGGCATGTGTAATGTAGTGTGTGTGGTATGTGGTATGTGTGGGGTATGTAGTAGTGTTCATGGATGCGGTATAGTATACATGTGATGTATGGTGTTTATACTGGTGTGTTTGTAGGATGATGTTTCTAGGTGATGTTCTTGTTCATTCAGTGGTGGAACAGCATTTGTGTTTAGGTTTGGGTACCCACTGCAGCCACAGATTAGCTAGATCCCAAAACAGCATCACTGGGCAGTGGATTCTACATGGATGAGGAGACAGACTGAAGGGTGAGCAGAGGCAGGAGGAGTCAGGCTTGTCCAAAGTTACACAGCCCAAGGAAGTTCCCAACATTGAGGGAAAGACCTGGGGAAGCTGCTTTCTTCTCCCAAAGGACCTTCCTGATAGGGAGATACCCCAGGATGCTTTGTAACTTTGAAGAGCCGTAGCTCCAACAGGCAAGCTGATGAATGGAAGAAGTACCTGCCTGTGGGACACATGCACGTCCAGGGCTCTGAACGACAACATAGGAAGGGACACTTGGACACTCAGGTGTCTCAGAATCATGCGGACAAGCCAACACAGCCACAACCAAACCTCAAGCACCCAAGGGTCCAGGTGTCCTCCAATTTCCCCCAAGTCCAAGCATGCAGGAAATGTCAGAGCTGTGTCCTCCGGGTCACACAGCTGGTCTCTTAGGACCATCGTGGGTCAGAGCTGCAGACTTGACAACCTCTGTGCTGGGAGGGTCTGTCTGTCACTCTGTTTCCTGAAGGGTCCTGGCACCATCCTTCACACTGTGGTGTCAGTGTGGAGGATCTGGGCTTTGGATTCTCTGCTGGGCCTCCCTCCTCCAATCCTTGCATCCCTTCCCCTTCCCCTTCTCCTGGCACCAGCCCCACCCCTTTCCCTTTTTCGAGAGGTAGGCTGAAAGGGACTCCCCCACCAGACACCATTTGAAATCCACCCTCAGGCCCCACCCGGCCCCTCTACAGCAGCTGGGCTGGGTGCTTGTCTGGGGCAGGATGTGGGGTGTGGGGTGTGGGGGTGCAACCCCCTCCTCCACAGGGGAGAACAATGAAGCCGCTGGCCTTGGTGGTGAGGTGGAGGGAGTGGGTGGGGGGCATGGAGCTGCATCAGAGCCTCTGAGTGCGGCCCCTGGGGGGACAGCTGAGTGATGAGGCCTGAGTCACATGCCCTGCGTGCTCCTTGAACTCCCGCTCTCCTGCCTGTCAGGACACATCCAGAAATGCACAGGGTAAATATTTAGAGGTAATCGTTTTTTTTTTGTGTGTGTGGCACCTCGCACCTCCTCCTTACTGAGGATGAGCCAGGCCTGGGATTCAAGGGAGAGGAGTCCAGGTAGACTCAGGATTGTAGCCTGGGCCTCTGTGATCACTGCTTCAGAGCCAGGGCATCATTCGGGTTGAGCCCAGGCTAATATCCACCAAGGATGTTCCTCTTAGTTCCGCTGGCCCTTGTCTTCGCTGCGACCAGTGTGCCAGCTGCAGCCTCCACTGAGCCTAGGCTAGCCCCACAGGCCTGCAGAAGGCCCCTCCATTTCCACAGGATAGAGAGGAGGGAGTACAGAAAAGAGCAGCCTATGTTGTGCATGCCAGTTTTCTTGGCTTTACCCTGCATGGAATGTCCTCCTTCCTTGGAAGACATGGAGTCGGAGCCCAAGCTTTATCAAAGATAAAACATTTGAGACTAAACAGTCTTTTTATAGACTGGAGCTGGGCTTTCTCGGCACATGCTCCCCACCATTCCCAGCCTGCTCTGAGCATGCATGGAAAGCAAACGTGTTTCTGGGCACATGGAAGCTGGGAGGTTTGAGGGTGAATTGTACTCATGGGAAAAGGGGAAGCCACGGGAAGACCTATGCTGCTCGGTGATGTGGTCCACCTCTGGAGCCCGAGGGAGCGGCACACAGAGGCAAGAATCAGGAGTTTGAGACAGGATGGAGCCCAAATTGTCAGGCATGTGCCTGTAACTTCAGACACCGCTGCTCACTCAGGCACAAACAGAAGAGAACGTTAACAAACCAAGCCGTTGGCTCTCCACTTACAGAGTTTCTTGCGTATAAGATACCAAGGGGAAGTTGGGAGGAAGAAGGTAAATAGTTATTAAGTATGTACTATTTACCAGGCAGTCTGCAAACATTAGCTCACTTAATCCTCACAAAGACCTTACCTATTAATTTTTTTTTTTAATGGATGAGGAAATGGAGGGTCATAGTGGTCAAGATAGGTAACCAGAGGAGAAATTTGATTTGGGGGCTTCCTGACTCCACTCAATCCTCTTTTATTTGTTTTTTAATTTAATTTTTTTAAAATTTTGTGTGCATTGAGGGAGAGGAGTGTCTAGTGATCACAGAACTAAGTTCGGGAGTTGGTTCTCTCTTTCCACCATGGTTCCAGGGAATGCACCTAGGTTGTCAGCCTTGGCAGCAGGTCCCCTTGTACACAGAGACATATAACTGGCCCTTTCTGTTTCCTGAATGAAAAATAGCAGCTCTCCTGGGATTATGGTAAGGATTAAATGGAATTATTTGGATAAAGGCTAGTCAGCGCCTGGTTTTAAGGAGTGTCTTCAGTTGATGTGGTTACAGTGACGGTTGTGTGTGCGGGCATCTTAGGGAATGGTATCCCAAGTTCTTTCGGATAATATGGGCAACTTAGGATGATTTAGATGGCGAATACACATAGAGACCAGCTCCGCACATCCAGCTACTCAGGTACCTGGGCATCTTCTGGAAAGTGCCAAGAGGTCAAGAAAGGCAGAGGTCTAGGGAAGCAGAGTTGCACGTGGTTACTGTGGCCAGAGAGCCTGTGGGGTCAGGATGGAGGAACAGTGGGAAGCCCTGGGCAGGTGGAGGAACAGTGGGAAGCCCTGGGGCCCCCCAAACAGGGCTGGAGCTGAACATCTCAGATGGTACAGGTGGAACTCACAGCTTTCTCTCCACTTTCCACTCAGAGACCTCAGTATGAACAACCTCACGGAGCTTCAGCCGGGTCTCTTCCACCACCTGCGCTTCCTGGAGGAGCTGTGAGTTGATGGTTGGCTGGGAGTAGGGGAGTGGGGGGTGGGGGTCGGTGGGTGGGACTCTCTGGTCAACAGTGGTAGGGACCAGGGCTCCCCAGAGCAAGGCGGAACTCCAGAAAGAAAGGAAAAAGTGGGGCTTGGGAAACGAGTATTTAGTTGAGACGGGCTGCGTGGGTGACTCCCAGAGGGCCTGTGTCAAGCCATGTGGCACTGCAGGTCTGAGCCAAAGCTCCTCGTAGCTCTTCCTCCTGCCTTATTTTCTTTCCCCTAAAGACGAGAGTTTCACTATATAGCTCAGGGTGGTCTAAAATTCACTAGTGTAGCTCAAACTGGTCTTGAACTTGCTATTTTCCTGCCTTAGCCTCCTGAGGGCTGGGATTTCATGCCGGAGCCACCACACCCAGCACAGCTTTTCCTCCTTTAAAAACAATTCTCTGTGTATGGGTTCATGTAAGTCTGTGTGCCACATACAGGCCAGTTGTCCCAGGAGACAGAAGAGGACGTCAGATTCCTTGAAACTGGAGTTACAGATGGTTGTGTGAGCTGCCATGTGGGTGCTGGGAATTGAACCCAGGTCCTCTGGGAGACCAGGCAGTGTTCTTAACCACCCAGCCATCTCTCTAGGCCCTGGCTTTCACTCGTTTTCCCACCTTTCCCGGGAAATCACCTTTGAACTGCTGTCATTCCTAATACCAAGGCTGTCTACCTGCAGGAGGGAATGCTCCGTGTGGATGGGGCTAGTGGTGGGCAGGCAAGCCAGCTTTTAAAGGCAGCAGAGGTCATTCTGAAGTGGGTGTGGCACAGCCTGGATGGGAGTGCAAAGGAGAGCTAAGGCCAAGGCATTTGGTAAGGCTGACTTTCCATCTCCCACTCTGAGAAGGGGCTGGACCTGTGTTAAAGGCCCTGCCTAAAGGAGTTATCTACCACCTAGGCCCATTTACAGAAGCCAAGTGTGGAGACCCAAGTGTCACCTTTTAAAGCAACAGATGTCAAATAAAGAGACTAGAGACAGAGTCCCCCTCAGTGGTGGAGACTCACCCGGGCACACTAGCTCTGTCTCTGAGCTGTAATGTCATCGTGAGATAACAATTTTAAACACTACCTTCTAAATTGGGTGTGGTGACACATGCCTCCTGTTCTAGCACAGGGGAGGCTGAGAGAAGAGGACTGTAAGTACTAGGTTATCCTGGACTACCTAGTGAGGTCCTGTCAAAAAACAACAACAAGCCGGGCGGCGGTGGCGCACGCCTTTAATCCCAGCACTCGGGAGGCAGAGCCAGGTGGATCTCTGTGAGTTCGAGGCCAGCCTGGGCTACCAAGTGAGTTTCACGACAGGCTCCAAAGCTACACAGAGAAACCCTGTCTCGAAAAACCAAAAAAAAAAAAAAAAAAAAAAAAAAAAAAAAACCAACAACAACAAAACCCCAAACAACAACAACAACAACAACAAAACAACACACACACAAACCAAGTCACAGTTTCCTTATCTGAAATTTGGGGGGGTAATACAGGTTGAGCATCTCAATCCAAAAATCTGAGATCTGTAATTTTTTTTTTGAGACAGGGTCTCAGTATGTAGCCCAGGCTAGACTAGAATCTTCTATGTAGCCAAGGCTGGCTTTGAATTCATGATCTTCCTGGCCCAGGCTTCCAAGTACTTGGATTACAGGTGTGTACCACCACACCTAAATTTAAAATCTGAAACTTTTTGTACACTGATGGGTCACCACAGTGGGTAGTTCTGCACCTGACTTCATGTGCTAAGTTGAATCAAAGCACAGAGCACTGAAATTATTGTAGGAGTCAAGAATTGTACCTCTCAGTATTGGGGTAATCACGCAGCATGTTTGAAGATGGCCTCCATCTTCAGCACCCTGCCCCTCCTCAAACAAGACAATATTGCGTAAAACTACCTTCAGGCTCCGTGTTTATAAAACAATCAAATTTTGGTTTAGTTGGTGAGATGCTCAGGGAATAAAGGCACTTACCACCAAGCCAGACTACCTAAGTTTGGTCCCCAGAAACCACAGGGTGGACGGAGAGAACCTCAGGTTGTCATTTGACTAGCACATGTGTGTCCATGGCACATAGCCACCCACCCACACACACACAAACACACACCAAATAAATACAAGTGAAATCAAATAAAATCAAGTGAATTTATGTTTAAACTTGGACCCATACCCTAGACAGCTCATTATCTAGATGCAAATATTTGGAAATCTGAAAGAACCTCAACACCGAACACCCCTTGGCTCCGAGCATTTCAAATATGGAATACTCACCGCATCCTGCACCTCCCAGGATTAACCGTGAAACAGGCTGATGCCTGAGGTGGACAGTAAACCGCAGTGCTCAGTAAATGGCCTGCCTTGACACCAGCCTACCTCCTGTGCTCCAAGACTGGAGCTCCCCCTTCACGGATCACCTGGCAACACCGTTGACCTCTGTGTCTTTGCTTCCAGGCGGCTTTCTGGGAACCATCTCTCACACATCCCCGGGAAGGCATTCTCCGGCCTCCACAGCCTGAAAATTCTGTAAGTAGAGGCTACCATGTCTCACATAAACATCGTGTGGCGCTGAGAATGCGGCCAGAGGGGTCTCGTCACTCTTCGAGTCTGGCTTTGCTCCTTGTTTCCTTATCTCCACTTTCCATTTCACTCATTACTTTCATTTCTTCGCGTTCCCTCATCTGATGTGTAAACAAAGATTAAGAGGAGCCCAAAGTCCCTGGCAGTCCTTCGGAGAGGAGGCAACTTGGTTTATGAACAGTGATCACTGTAGGGCTCAGTGGAGGTTTATTTATTTATTTTTTACATTTATCATTTATTTATGTGTGTGTGTGTGTGTGTGTGTGTGTGTGTGTGTGTGTGTGTGTGTGTGTTGCATGAGTGTGGAGGCCGGAGGCCAGCTTTGGAGTTGGTTCTCTCCTTCCGCCATGTGGGTCCCGAGGATAGAACTCAGGTCATCAGGCCTGGTAGCACATGCTGTTACTCAGGGAGCCACCTCACTGGTCCTTTGTTTTCACTTTTGAGGGCTGGGGATGTAGTTCAGTTGGTAGAGTGTTTACTTAACATGCATGACGCTCTGGGTTAGGTCCCCAGCACTGTAGAAGTCAGGCATGCTGGTACATGCCTGTAATCTCAGAACTCAGGATGAGCAAGAAGTCCAGAGGACCAGACTGCTTCAGCCATGAAGCGCTTGCCATGAAATCACGAACCTGAGTTGAATCCCTAGACTCCACTTAAAAAGCCAAGTGTGATGGTTAGTGCTTATAATCCCAGCACTTAAGAGGCGGAGGCAGGTGGATCCCTGGGACTCAGTTGCTAGCCAGCCTAGACTCATTGGAGAACCCCAGGTCCCAGTGAGAGACCTTGTCTAAAAAAAAAAAGAAAGGCCGGGCGGTGGTGGCGCACGCCTTTAATCCCAGCACTCGGGAGGCAGAGCCAGGCGGATCTCTGTGAGTTCGAGGCCAGCCTGGACTACCAAGTGAGTTCCAGGAAAGGCGCAAAGCTACACAGAGAAACCCTGTCTCGAAAAACCAAAAAAAAAAAAAAAAAAAAAAAAAAAAGAAAGAAAGAAAAAGAAAGAAAGCAAGGTGATTGGTTCCTGAAGAAGAACGTCTGACGTCTTCTAGTCTCTGTGTGCACACAAAGCCACACAGTGCATCTGAACTACCATGAACAGCTGTACATATGCACACACACCAAAGTTCAAGGTCATTCTCAGCTACATAGTTCAACCCACCCCCCCCTTTTTTAAAAACAGTACTTTTTAAGCTTAGTTTAGTTTTGCTTTAGTTAGCATACGAGACAATGGGCTTTATTTTCACTTGTGTTAAAATCATTTAACTGTCCCGACTAAGGAGCTCGCTCGTGACACTGGCAGGTGGGAGAGCAGTGTTTGCCGTGACGTTTCATCTGTACATGTCATTGTACTTTGCTCGTATCCACTTCCCCATCACCCTTCCATCCTTCAGCTCTTCGACTGACTTTGTGGTTGGTTGGTTGGTTGGTTTGTCTTTTTTTGTCTTTGGATTTTTGAGACAGGATCTTTCTATGTGGACCTGACTGACCGGCAACTCAGCGATTTGATATGTAGACCAGGATGCCCTCGAATTTGTAGGGATTCCCTTTGTCTCCGCCTCCTGAGTGTTAGGCGTACAAGTGTGAGCTGCCACGTCTAGCTTTTCCTCTCCTCTTTGTTTCCCTCTCTGTCTCTGTCTCTGTCTCTGTCTCTGTCTCTCTCTCTCTCTCTCTCTCTCTCTCTCTCTTTCTTTTTGAGAGAAGGTTTTGCTTAGCTCAGGATAGCCCTTCCTGTCTGAGATTCTGAAATGCTGGGATTACAGCTTCCATGTTTTCCCCTGGTCTCTGACCTTCAGCTCTCTGCTATCATCACTGGGAAGGACTGTCCTTCAAATCAGGCCTCCTCCTCCAGCCCCTCCACACCTTCTCAGGTTGGGAGAGGACCTGGCATTCTCTCACTTAGCTCTTCTTGCTAGGGAGCTGTCAGCCCAACGTAGAGAAGGGAAGGCTGGGGCACCATCTCCTCCCACCCCAACCCCCGATGCACCTTGTCCTAGCTAAGTCCATCTTTCCAAGAGGGGTAAAGGTGGGAGGACATGGGAAGAAGTGGATACAGAGCTGAAGACGGATGGAGACCCCAGAGAGGGCACAGCATCCCAGGGACCAGTGTGGGAAGAAGATGAGCGTTTGAGGGGCTGATCCTAAAGCAACAGAATGACCACTTGGGGCTTCCCTAAGGTAGGGCGCTCCTTTCCAGTTCTGTTGTTTGGCCCTGACTCGACTTGCAGTTCTTCTTGGTACTGTTGTACAGGTTGTTGGCTTTGCAAAAGCATCTGGTGGAGGGGAGAGGGCCTGAACTCCAGTTCTGTGCCCGGGTTTGGAATGGTACCCTCCCAAAGGCAGATCTCTTTCTTGTTTCCCCAGAGTGGCTCCTGGCTGACAGTGGTCCTTCCTCTGGAGCTCCCTGCTTCCAGATGGTCCTCAGTGTGTATCTCAGCATTTTCCATCTCTGGTATCCCCAGCGCCTCTCTCCAACTGCCGCTAAATCTCTGATCCAGGGCTCCGAGGCCTCTGTGTATTTATTCTTCATTCTCCCTTACTGTGGCTCCCAAGAATCCTTGGTCCCCTCCTCTCTGCTCTGCCTCTCTGTTACCAGCATCTCAGTTCTTCCTGCCCTTCTGTCTTACTCTCTATAGCTGCCCAGGGTACAGGGGGGAGTGGGGGAGGAGACATCTCGAACTCACAACGCAGTGTAGGCAGCCTGCTTGGTGGCGTATCTGTGCCCAGTGGCAGGTTCAGACCTGCAGCCGGATTAGAGTGCAGGGTTCTGTTTGCTGGGTCTTCAGAAGATGTGAGGCTCACGTCCCGTTCCTAAGGCTCCGGCTTAGAGATGAGCCTCCTCTTTCTTCTCTGCCTGCATTAGGCAATAAATCAAAGCCTGGAAGAAACCGCAGCCCGCCCGCCCCCTTTCAACCAGCGGCGCCTGGGCCCAGTGAGCAGGTTGGCCAAAAGCTGTGGGTGGGAGCCAGGACAGCCAGGCTGCTCACCCCCACTTTGCCAGTGACCCCCATTTTCCTCCATCTTTGAAGACCGCCAATCACTAAAGCCTTGTGTCTACAGGGCTCCCTGTTCAGGGATAGTGGGGGACCCCACTCTTCTCCCCCAGAGCTTCAGAACAGGAGATTCCGTGTGTCCTGGGTGCAAAGTTCTTTCTGACATCCAATGTCACTGTCTGTGGTTGCAGGTCCTTGTTTCTCAGACCTATAAGAAAACTGGAGCAGTAGCGCCCCACCTCCTCCCCGTGCCAGCCCAAGAGCTTCTCTCTGTACAAGAAGACCATAGCTTTCTATGTTCAGACCCTTCCCAAGGCTGTAGCTTCTTTTCTCCGAGGCCTGGCCAGGCTGAGAGGAAATGGGGACAGTGGACTGGACGGCATGATGGATGCTCTGCTTCCTTGTCGTCCTGGAAGCAAACAGTGAAATATCTCTCCCTTCCTAAGGGACTGTAGCAGATTCTCCCAGGGGGCCTCCCAACACTGGCCTTGGCCCTCCTGTCCTCTGAGGGTTCTCCAAGTCCTCAAACTTAGAGCTTAGAGCAGGCCTGACCAAGAGAGAGGGTCTAACCTCACAACAGTCTGCCCCACTGAGGCTGCGAGGGCCCAGATGCTAAATTCACAGAGCTGCGCTAAGGGAAACCACACTCCTACTGCCCCAGACATGGACCTCAGACTCTCCTGCCCACTGTGCAGGGCATAGGGCAGCTGCAGGCAGAGCTCCTGGACCTGGTCCCAGCCCAGGCGTTATGTGTATGTGTTGGGCTTCCCCACACTACCTTTCCTCAAAAGTTGTCATCTTAGAAAATGAGCGAGGTCTAGTCTTGGCCCTTCCCATCATCTGCAGACCGTGCAGGAACAGCAGCCACCCTGGTTCAGGTCGACGTGGCCCCATCTAGAACATCTCTGCTGAGCCTCAGCTGCCTTGCACCAGATCTAGATTTGAGAACAGAGGTGGAGGGAGGCCCAAGGGCTTGCCTCTGTTCTCTGCCTCTAGGAACCTGGGCAGGAGGTTTCTCCAGGGGGCTCTGCTCCTGGATAGAGCCCAGAGCCCAGAGTTTGTGACTGGGGGTTCCTAGCCAGTGTCCTCTCAGTAAAGACTAAAGTTGTAGAAGCTGTCCTCTGCGTCTGATCTTGGCCCATCATCTAAAGCCTGGCTGGAGGCAGAGAGGAGCACAGGGGAGTGAGATCTCCGACCCAGGAAATCAAGTGCAGCATCGACTGTAGCCCTCTCCACGATGTACGGACTATCTCAGGTGGACATTGACTGCTTCCCCTCCCTCTGGACTTGATGGATTGAATGGAACCGACCTGGGAGGGACTCACATTGCTTGGGAGCGCTGAGCTCTCCAGCCTGGCTTTTGAGAAGGCTACAAGGAACCCAGGGAGACCTCCTAAGCTGCTCTTCAGTGAGAGGCCAAGGCTTGACCCATCCTCCCAAGGGACTAGATGGCAGAAAGTGGGGCTCTTTGGCAGCAGAGAGGCTTGAGGCTAGACTCAAGGCCTCACCAGAAGTGGGGCAGCAGGGAAAACGCTTAGATTTCTACTTTCTAAATCTTAATTTTCTTCCTTTTAAAATGAGAGAGTTGGAATGAATTCCTCTGTATTTTTAGTTGCAGAATTGAAACCCAAACCCCAAACATTGGCCGGTGGTAATGGTGCATACCTGTACCCTTTTCCCTGAGGAAGCTGAGATACAGGCTCATTGAGTTCAAAGGCAGGTTGGGCTATATATCAAGACTATCTTAAAAAAAAAAAAACAAGGCCTGGGACTGGAGATGTGGATCAGAGGTTAAGAGCACATGCTGCTCTTACAGAGAACCAAGGCTCAGTTTCCAGCACTCACATGGTAACTCACAACCACCCTTAACTCCAGTTTCAGCAGTTCCAACATCCTCTCCTGGTCTCCTTGGGTACCAGGCATGTACATGGTGCACATACATACATATAAGCAAAACATTCATAAACATTTAAAAAATTCATTAGCAGAGTACTTACTTAGCATGTACAAGGCCCTGGGTTCAATCCCCACATGGGGAAAAACAAAACAAAAACTCACCTTATACGGAAATGTGAACACATAAAACTGATGGAGGACATTTTTTTTTACAGGGTGCAGAGGGTGGTGAGCTCCAGACCCTGCCTCACTCATCTGTACAAGTGACCCCAAGGCACTAGATTCACAGGAAGAGCCTTTTGGAGAACACTGGGGGGTGGGAAGAGTTGACTCTTTGCTACTTGTCCCCTGGGTCTCTGAAATTCATGGTTTCTGTTCCCAGATGCTTCTCTGGCAAGAGAGAGGCTCTGAGTACGTTCTTTGTATGTGAGTTGGGGGAGGGTTGCTGAGGACCAGACTTCCAGTGGACACCTGTTCGCACATTGGACTCAACCTGGAGCTTGAAAATTAATGAAGCCATGCCTTTTACAACAAGCAGCCCCAGAGGCTCAAGGGGATTGTTCTGCGGCCTGAGAATTTCTTAGGTGGTTCTAATGTGCATGTAGGGCTGAGAGCAAGGGGTTAAGTCCACTTTGCCTCTCCAGGCACAGCTCTGGTTAAAAAGAGCGCACAAATGCACTGGCCTGGAGTGGGCCTTGGAGCCTGCTCCTAATGTTGTCATTAATGTGATTTGTAACTCTGGGAAAATCACCTCCCCTCTCTCAGTCTCCATTGCCTCACCCTGGAGAATAAAGGGTTGCTTCCTTCTGACAGTCTTTCTGCCCCTTCTGACCCAACCGTGCTTCCATGCAGTATCCCTGGGAAATGAGTCTGGGGACAGCAGGGAAGCGGGTCAGGCCCATCACCAGTGACCAGGCTATACTCCAGCTTACTGGGGATTGATTCATGAAATCCAGACTGTCTGGCCCAGCTTGGGTTGTTGAGGAAATGCTGAGCATCCTGACACTGGAAGGGAGAAGAGTTAGTGTAGCCACAGAGGTGCTCCAGATTCTGTGCTGAGGTTCAACATGGAGACTCTAAAGATCTTCTTAGGGCCAGTGAGATGTCTCAGTGAGCAATGGCACCTGCCATCTCCAGGATCCACGTGGTGGAGGAAAAAAACCAACTTCTGTGACTTTTCTTCGGACCTCTATATGTACACACACACACACATCTAGATCTTTCTAGATCTCATTGTCTAGGACTCAGCAGAAAGAAAGGTGTGAGTAGGAGGTGATGTCAGTGTAGGTGCATTGGGGGTGCTCCTTGGAGGTGCAGCTCACCTGTGCAGCAACAAAAGGTAGCTTTGGGGACCATGGAGAGAGTATGAGCAGCTGTGACCACTGCTTACCCAACCATAGTTTCCCACGTATCCTTGGTCCAAACACATGTAGGAATCATGAGAAGCGAGGCAGCTGGTGGAGATGAGGGTAAAGAGGTACCCACAGCCTAGGAGGAGTGGGAGGGATGGCAGTACCCACAGCAGGCAGTCAGAAACTTTCTACTAGCTCCCTCACCTCGTGCTCAGAGCAGAGGTTTTTCAGGTCCTCAAAGAGCTGCGGAGCTCTGGCTGGGGAGCCATCCTCAGGCCCAGTGTCTGGGCCCCAGTTCCGGGAGAGCAGCCGCCATGTCAGGTGATCATTTCCCCGGCTGTCTTGTCATTTTGTTCTGTGTGGTTGTGTGAGATTGCGTTACTAGTGTTATCACTGAGGGAAGTGTTTGTGGTGTTGGAGATCAAACCCAAAGTCTCACACATGCTAAGCAAGAGCTTATTACTTGAGCTGCATCTCATCTACCATCACTATTGTCATTGTCTCCATCATCATCATCACTATCATCATCATCATATCATCATATCATCATCATCACCATCATCATCACCACCATCATCATCATCATATCATCATCATCATCATATCATCATATCATCATCATCACCACCATCATCATCACTATCATCATCATCATATCATCATATCATCATCATCACCATCATCACCACCATCATCATCATCATCATCATCACCATCATCATCACCACCATCATCATCATCATCACCACCATCATCATCACCACCATCATCATCATCACCACCATCATCATCACCATCACCATCATCATCATCATCATCACCATCATCACTGGGGTAGATGCTAGGACATGCTAGGAAAGTCCTCTGCCAATGAGGTATACCACCAGCCCTTCTGAGCAAAGTCTTATATATATGTATATATGTCTTCTGCAAGTCTCTTCCCTTGAATGAGGAGGGAATTGAGGCTCAGAGAGGGGAAGTGATTTCCTTAAGTCAACCAGCAAGTCGTAGAACTGAGATCAGACAGTAATAGCAATAATTGATTTTATGGGCCAGGGTGCTATGAGTTCTGTCTGCATGGAAGACATTGCTGTGAAGTGGGTACTCTGCAGGGACCATTTTATTCGATCCATGTAACCAACACACAAAGACTTGGTTGTCACAAGTTCATGGATGGAGCCCTGAAGTTTAAGTACTTACGTGGTCACACAGCTGAAGAAGGGCAGAGCTTAGGATCGGGATCCAGGCTATGTTACCTCAGGACTTGGACACGGGACATTATACTTTTAAGTAAGTTGGGAAGACCCAAATTTAAGTTCCATCCATGAAGCAAAGCACTGTCATTAAAAAGTCTCCTTGATGCTCTATCAGCCTGCACAGGACGAACAGGAGGGTAAGAGAACTCCAGCATTACAGTGTGCACAAGGGGGCCGGGCCCTCCAGCTTCTCAGAGCCTTGGGCTCTGCCCCACCTGCAGCCTGGCTCTCCTCCCAAGATGTCTTCCTCCGGTGGCAGGTGGACCCTGGCCCCAGGGGTCCGGAAGCCTGCCTTTGTTCTCGCTTCATGGGATGCTCCTCTCACACACCACCTCACGCCAGCCCTGGCCCCTGCAGCCAGGTGGTGGTGTGCTTCGTTTTCCCACGAAGGACGTTTCTGTATCCCTAAGAGGAGGTCAGCGGTGAGAACAGGTGTGAGTGGCCAGGGTAGCCGCACAGGAGGCACCGATAGCCAGCAGCCTCAAACGTAGGCCCTTCGGCGTTTTCTGGCTCTCTCTCTCCTGTCTTGTGAGAGATGCTGTGTAGTGGAACATGTTCAGACTGGATTCTAACCCTCTGGGGCCCAGACCCAGCCCTAGCACTGTGTGTCCTTCAACACAGATAACAATAGCCCCATAAGGTGGAGCTAAAACCTAAAGGTGGGCACCCTTGAAGCAACAAGGGCCACTTCTGGCCCATTAACTGTTAGATCAGACAAGAGGCCGCTTCTCCTGAAATCTGGCATCACCTGAGCGGTCTTGGAAAGGGTGCTTGCCTCTCAAGGTCGCAGTTTCCTGCTCTGAGCAATATATTGGTGATACGTTTATAAAAGGGAAGTCTGGAGCCCTCGGTGTGGACAACATACTGAGCACACAGTAGGTGCTCACTTTCCAGTGCATCCTGGGAGCCCGGGCAGCTATCGAGGCAGACTCACAGCTCGCTGTCCAAAGGCCTCCTTTGCATTTCTTTTTCCTAATGTATTCATTTAATTTTGTGTGTGTATGGTGTTCTATCTACATGTATGTTTTGGCACCATGCATGTGCAGTGCTCATGTAGTACAGAGGAGGGTGTCAGGTACCTGGAACTGGAGTCACAGACAGCTGTGAGCTACCATGTGGGTGCTGGGAATGGAACCCGTGTCCTCTGGAAGAACAGCCACTGCTCTTAACCATTGAGCCATCTCTCCAGACTGTTTTTTAGTTTATGTGTTTATGTAGTTTTCCTCCTTCCCATTTCTGTACTCAGTATTTTCCTTAGAACTAAGCATGCATAGCTGTTACTCAGAGGGTCCCCTGCGCTTTGGGGTGTGCTGCCCAGCTTAGTTAAAGCCCCTGTTATGTCTGGATTCCCCTGGAGTCAGCAGCACCCCCTTGTAGAGGTGCCCACTTCTCTGTGGTTCCCTGCCGCATGCTCTCCAACCCTCTTCCCTGCACGTAGGCCTCTGGGCCCCCAGGAGTTTCGTGGTTTCTGCCTGCAGGGCCCTCCTGGGTTTTGTGGCTGGCCCTGTCTTAGGCCAGCAGCCTCAGAAACAGCTGTTTAGTGTGTGCTTGTGTGAGATGAAGCCGCCACAGGCTGAGGACGGGACTCGTCAAATACTTCTGCAGACGAGGACCCCGGAAAGCGTATTTTCCCGACGCCCTGATACTTGAGGGGCAGTCTTCAGTCTTACTTTCATCCATGTCTTCCTCTCTCACGAAGAAGCCCTTAGCAGCTCAGCTGGATAGGCAGGGAAACTGAGGCCTGGGAAGTAATTCTGAAACACTTCCCGGACAGAGTTCAGCAGAGTCCCATCTTTCTTTCTCTCTCCTGGTTCTTGAGATCCTTTCTCACTGCAGCCCTGGCTACCCTGGAACTCAGTATATATGGCTGTCCTTGAACTTCCCCCTGCCTCCCACTCACTGGATTAGACGTGTGTGCCTCCACCTGCCCTCCTTTCTCTTCATCACCCTTTTCCCCTCCTGCCATGTCTTCCAAGCCATCTTGAGGACCTCTCCTTCTCCTACCCTGGGCCTTCCAATCCCCCTTGTATCTCAGCAATACCCCCATGCCGCACTAACAAACTCTGGGCTCTGAAGAAGGAGAAGAGGGGGACTTCAAAGGAGGAGCCCCTACCCCACTCCTCCACTCAGTGCCCAGTGCCTCTTAACAGACCTCTCTCTCCCCTTCAGGATGCTGCAGAGCAACCAGCTCCGAGGGATCCCGGCGGAGGCACTGTGGGAGCTGCCCAGCCTGCAGTCACTGTGAGTCACTGGGGGTCCACCTTCTTGGATGGGGGGGTACAACCCAGGCCCTGCCTTAGTTTCCCCCTTCTGCAGCCCACTCACTAGTTGAGATGGTGCTTCTGGCTCTGGTTTCCTGAAGGTTTTGCTGTCATAAGTACGTGTCTATGACACTTGTGTGTTTGCAGGACTGTGGGAACGGAGCCTCCCTAGGTAGGGCCACCAGGGCAGCAGTCCTGAAGCCACTGGCTTTCTGCCACCAGAGCTAGGATGTGGGGTGGAGACGACTGTCCCAAAGAAGCACCAGGAAGGGCTTGTCTCCTCCCCTCAGCTGCCTTTTGCCCTGGAGCTCAGTAGGAGGAGGAGGGGTCCAGGTTCAAACGCCTACTTCCCGACCTACTTAGAGGGGAGAGGGGACTGTGATCATAGACTCTGGGCCACCCAGGATAGAGTCCACCCTCCAGGGAGCCCTGTAGTTCCTCTTTTACCCAGCAGGGGAATCATGGCAACGGGACTAAGCCTGCCCTTGAGAGTGGGAAGAGGTGGCAGGGTTGACGGAAGCTGGTCTTGTCTACCTATTGGGCTGTGTGCATGATATCTATGCTCAACACAGGGCTGGGAACACTGTAAGCGCCTCACACCTGCTTATGGAAGCCAAGTGAAGTTTTTGGTTGCACCTATAGCTATCTATCCAGTGGGATGAATACTTATTTTGGGGAAATCATAGTTGGAGGATAGGACTTAGGTAGGCATGACATTTAGCCTGTAGGAACCTAGGCCTGTGCAATGAGTAGAAAGGACAAGGCGGGCAGTGTTCTTGGATGTAGGTTCTGCTATGGCCCTGCCCAGAGCGTGGACGTGGAAGTCAGACAGTCTTAACCTGCTTTGCTTGTCCTGGAGCAGAAGGAGGGCGACAGGGAAAGTGGCTTTACTCTGGAGTCTACCTTTAAAGAGGGCCCCTGGCCAGCTAGCCACCGCCACTAGAGTTTGGGGTTTCCTCTCGTTGGCTACCTGGGTATACACTGCTTTTGTTGGCCGAGTGGCCCGGGAGGCAGAAGCTGCCTTCCCTCCTCTTCCTCTCGCCTGTCTGCCCTCCATCCCAAAGCGTCTAGGCCTCCGGCCCCAGCAGCCTCTCCCTCCATCCGGCAGGATAGGTAGACGGTATGCCCTGGGAGGCCAAGGTCACTAGATGAAAAGCCCGGAAAGCCTGTACGTGCTGTCTTGCTGGCAGACTAAACATTTGCTTAGGGCACCAGCAAAGAACTGGGAGAGCCAAAAATAAGACGTGGTGGATGGGGTGGGGGAGGCTTGACATTTCAATCAAAGCATCAAACAGACTCATAGGAAAAACTTGGACTTATTTTGAAGTTAAATCATTAATTGAAAAAAAAAAGTGAGTCACACCTTTTGCTGAAGGTCTCTGAAGGTCTTGTCTTCAGAGCAGGCCTGGCACTTGGAGTTAGATGCACAGTTTCCCTCAAGTGTTCTGAGAAGTGGGCTGTTCCCTGGCTTGTCAGACCAAAGCATTCATCCCAGCCCCATTACACCCCTCTGCTTAGGCAGCTGAGGGTGGAAACCAAGGCAGACAACGGGTAGGTGTGGCCTCTCGCTAGCCTGAGAACACCAGCCTGCTAGAGAGAGCATAACTTCAGACCCTGCCTCTGATCTTGGCTACATGCCTCAGTTTCTCCATCTTCAAAGTGGGGATCATGAGCGTATCCTGCTCACCTCTAAGGGCTTTCCTGAAAAGAACACCTAGAATCCACAAGAGAGGGCTGGAGAAACAGAAGGCTGCTCACAGCTGTGACAGTGTTCTTCTGTCTATCCAGTCATCGGTTCCTTCATTTCAAAATATTTCTGAGGCTGTACCAAGTCAGTAAAATTTGTAATAGGTCTTGAAGATTGGGAGATGTCAATCATGTGGAGAGGCGGGGAAAGGACATGATGGACAGAGGGACCACAGGGTGCTGAGGTAGAGAGGTCAAAGGGGAAGAAATTGAGTGAGCACTAGGGAGTTTAGCTGAACTCTGTGTGTGTGTGTGTGTGTGTGCATGTGCATGCGGGTGTGCGTGCGTGTGTGTGTGTGCGCGCGTGCGTGTGTGTGCGCGCGTGCGTGTGTGTGTGTGTGTGTGTGTGTGTGTGTGTGTGTGTGTGTGTGTGACTGGTAGGCAGGGCAGCGGCAGAGAAAGAACTGAAATTAGCAAACGATACCATCTGGCAAGTGGCAATCACTTTGTTAAGGATTTGGATGCCACGATGATAGAAGGGAGCCACAGAAGGACTTTGAGCAGGACAGCAGTGGGAAAGTTTATGTTTTTGAAAAGTCCCCTTTTGGCCGGGCGGTGGTGGCGCACGCCTTTAATCCCAGCACTCGGGAGGCAGAGCCAGGCGGATCTCTGTGAGTTCAAGGCCAGCCTGGGCTACCAAGTGAGCTCCAGGAGAGGCGCAAAGCTACACAGAGAAACCCTGTCTCGAAAAACCAAAAAAAAAAAAAAAAAAAAAGTCCCCTTTTGGAAGCAATGACGGGGACTGAGGGGTTGGGGTGAAAGCCAGGCCGCCCAGAGTGACGGTGGCCAGAGGACAGGCAGGGGCAGCAGTGACGGGGAGAAGTCGGTGGGCTCTGAAAACTTCAGGCACTCAGGAAGCAGACTTCTCTACACTCCCACCTCAGCTCCTCCGTGGGCTTCCTGGAAGGCCTGGGCAGGTTACTCAACCTCCATCCTGTTTCTCCTTATCCACACAACCACGGCAGTGTTGGCATCCACTCATCTCGAGGGCCTGGCGTGGGATGAGTTCAAGGTACGGGAGAGACTTGGAACAGGGCCTCCTGCTGTCACGGCCAGAGGTGTTAGCAGCCGCTGACCGTGGGAGTCGGGGGAGGGGAGGAGTCACACCGACACCCGGTTCTCTGGCTTTGACATCATGGTAGAAGGAGAATCTGGTCACTAAGAGCTTGGCACGTGGTGGGACTCATGCAGAACGTGAGCCCTGGCTTAACCAAGGTGATCAGCAGCCCAGATAAACCAGAGGTTGTTCGTTCTGTCTCCAGGGTGCAGGTGTGTGTGTGTGTGTGTGTGTGTGTGTGTGTGTGTGTGTGTGTGTGCATGTACAATCATGCATGTATATGCATGTGTACATTAACATTTTCATATGTGGGGGAGGGGGAGGAGGAAGTACCTAACGTGAGCACTCAGAATGGCGGGTATTATTATATCCTGAGCTTTTGGAAAGTGGAGGAGTCTGGGAAAGACCCCCTCAGACACTGAAGGGAGGTGCTCCCCACCAAATTCAGTCCCCATCATGTCAGATAGCAACAGTAAGACCAGGCTTTGTTAGCAGGCTGAAAGGACAAATGTAGCCGAGGCCAGTGTCCTAGATCTGTCCATCGGCTCCACGTGCAGCATCTACCATGGGACTTCTTCATCACCGCTCCCTTACCAACTTCCCTCAGCTAATGGATGGGTGAGGAGACCTGCAGGAAAGTTTTGGGGGCTCTCCAAGGTGGAGTTATTGAGGCACCTGCAGGCATACTTCAGCTGTGGGGTTCCAAAGGCTGTGAAGGAGGCCTTCTTTTGATGGCCACCATTCAAGACCCTCCTTCTTCCCTAGAACAGGAGCAAATGACAGTGTCCTGCTTTCTGTCTGGAGCTGGTGCATCAGAGAGGCACAGAGTCACATCTTTCCATGCTCTCCTGTAGCTCGGGCTGCCCTCCTTAGAACCGGCAAGATGCACAGTGCGCCTCATGTCCTCCGACACCTCCATATGGGGGTGACTCTGTTCTCCTGGAGCCATGCAGGGCTCAGCCCTGTGGATGATCCTATCTTCTACCAGCTAGAACCAGACACAAGGAACAGGAACTAGGTATGGGGAGTCCAGTGTGGGACTGGGGAGGGGGGCGGGGCAGCCAGCCTGCATTCCAGGGGCCATGTACTGAGTTGGATGTGGCACATGAGCTATTTGGTTTGGCACCTGGACTGGCAGCATCCTACTCCCCCTCCTCCAGTACCCCCCTCGGCACACACTTACTTCCTCCCGGACCAGCGTGGGAGGAGAGTGCAACCACACCAGACATGTCACACCAGGCATGAATCCAGGCCAAGAGAAACCACTGCAAGCCCGCAGAGCCTGGGGCTAGATAGAAACGGGGTGGGGGTGAGGTAGCGCCCTGGGGAGAGCCCATGGAGAAGCAGAAACAAAGCTCTCAGAGTCAGCACCAGGCTGGGCTGGATCTGGGCATCTTGGGAAACCCAGTGACAAGAAAAGAAAAATGGAAGAGGACAGAAAAGAACTCAGTCTTAGAAGCCCTGGGGAGTGTGTATCACCAAAGGCAGCCACTTGGCAATGGCCATTGTGCTAATCTTGAAAGCCCTTCCAGGTTGCTTCTAGTTGTGACCATTTGATAACGAGGCAGCTAAAGCCCATCCAAGTTCAGTACTTGCTGGAGGTCCACAGCTAGGATAGAACAGAGGTGGGTTTTGGTTTGGTTCAGACTCCATAGAACCAAGGTCTTCACTTTGCCCTTTAATACCCTTTCAAAGCTCTGATACCTTAGGGTCCAGAGATTTGGGTTGAAGTCTTGGCTTTATCACTAGCTGTCAATCATCTCTCCTCTTTGAGCCTAGGGTTCTCCATCTCCGAGGTGGGAAGGTCAAATAAGGTGACTGGACAGCCAAGCTTTCAAGAGATTATCCTGCCTGGAGATGGTAACTTCCCAATAGGGTCCTTGGTCCTGTTCTGGAGTGGCTGATGACTCCTGAGACTTGTTCACTCAGTTGTACTGTCTGTGCCGTGACCGTGTTCTCTGTGAACCTTTCTAGCACTCCGGGAATGCAGCGGAGTTGGACAGGGAGAGGAAAAACATGAATGTGTTCAGGAGAAAATGACCAAGCCTTCGGTTCCATGCCAGATGTCCCCTGAGGAGAGGCGTAAGAGGGGGGTTCCTGGGAAAGACAAGGCCCCTCCCTCCATACCGTGACCTGCTTTGAAGGGACAGCTGTACACAGACTAGTGCCCCAGGCAA